AAAAATAGCGTGGGGCTGTGCTATTTTTAGAACGGGACTGGCGCAGGCCCAGTTCCCAGTAGATGAACAGTCGGCCCCATGCTAAAAATAGCGTGGGGCTGTGCTATTTTTAGAACGGGACTGGCGCAGGCCCGACTTTGGAAAACGAACAATCAGTCCCGAGCTAAAAATAGTACATGACCCTATTTTAATTATTTGGGTTTGGCTGCTCATCTATATGGCTACTTAGGGCTGTTCTTTTCCTGGCCGGGCTACGCGGTCGTGTTGGTCCGGTCCCAACCGATCAAACTTGAATATCTCGCTGACCCTTGGTCCGTTTCAAGTGCCGTTTGGACTGGACCCCACTAATTGATTCATTGCAGTCGCGTCGGTTCAGTCCAATGGGGACGATTAGTCCTCCAGAGGATCGTACCGTCGCGCCGCTCTTCCCTCGGCTTCGGCCTAGGGGAAGTCTAATCGAAGTACTAGGGTCCATGACTACGGTACACAATCTCTGACGCAGCGCGGAAATTGACCGTGCCGAGTCAATTTCCGCTGCTGTGCCGCAACATCTTCTGACAGCGGACATCGGGTTATCTTTAATAAATCAGCAGGAGATTCAGACCGATACTCACCCGCCGACTCATTGCAAACCTTATCGATACTCATTGGCAGAACGGAAGGCAACACTCGAGCGAATTCGGGAATTCGAAGCTAACGGTTGGATAGAGCCCGCTTCAGGTCTTTGGTCCTTTCCGGTAGTTTTGGTTCCGAAAAAGAACGAGTCGATCTGCATTTGCATTGATTATCGAAAATTGAATGGCATCACGATCAAGGATGTGTACCCCCTCCCTCGGATTGATGATCTGTCGGATGTGATTGGCTGTGCAAATTATTTTAGTAAATTTGATATTCGGCACGGGTTCCATCATATCCTTGTGAGGAAAGAGGATCGGCCGAAAACGGCGTTTGTCTTGTTTGAGGGCACATGGCAGTGGGTTCGATGCCCTATGGGTATATGCAATGCGCCGCCGACTTTTCAGCGGGCAATGAATGTCACTTTCCAGAACTTCGTAAACAAGACCAGGTTAACTTAGGGCATGATCAATTTTTGCGTTATCGTGTACATGGACGATATTTTGGTGTATTCTGAATCATTCCATGGACACGCGCATCATATTGAATGAACACCAAGATTGCGTTGGAGAAAAGCGAATTTTTCCTGTCCGAGATCTCGTTCCTGGGCTACATGGTAACTCGAGGAGGCTTGAGACCGGATTCGAGGAAGGTCGAGGCTGTTCGAGAAGCACCCACGCCCACGTCATTGACGGAGGTTCGAGCCTTCCTGAGACTGGCCTCGTACTACCAACGGTTTATCAAGGGCTTTGCGGCGATCGCTCGGCCCCTGACGAACCTCCTGCGGAAGGACCAACCGCTAAACTGGGATGCGGAGGTGAGCGGAGGAGAAGAGGAGGAGGAAGAGGAGGAAAACGAGGAAGAGACCTCCGGAGAAGACGAGGAAGAGACCTCCGGAGAAGATGGGGAAGAGACCTCCGAAGAGGACGAGGATTATAGTGAGCATAGTGAGCATAGTGAGCATGAGGTGGGGGTGGTGAGCGAAGAAAAAGAAGAAGAAGAAGAAGAGCGGGAGGAGGTCAAAGAAGAAGCGAAAGGAAAGCGGTCATTGGAGCAGTCGGTGGGAGCTGATCTGCCTGTTTCGGACGACCCGATTAAAGATCCCGAGCCGCCAGCCAAGGAAGATGAGCACCCTCATGCAGAGACTTCTGGCACGGTGACGCGCAGGCGATCCCGTTCCCCCTCCCCTTCCCCCCGTCCCTCAGTTTGAGCTCGTGGCAATGCGGGACATCGGGTTACGTCCCCGTTCCCTATCCCGCCGTCCCCTTGATTACATCACATTCAGACAGATCAATACTCCGCGCTCCTTCCCCTTTAATCCTTTTTCTTCTTCGACCTTCCACCAATTCTACGTCACCCGCCTCGTCGTTGAAGTATACCCACACCCCGCCGCCCAATGTGTCTCTTCTTCCTTCTATCTCCACGTCCTTCTGTTCAACGCCGCGTGGCAAGACCAGAACGTTATTGAAGTCTACTGCATCATCACAAGAACTATCCCCGTGTGTGCAGATCATGAGCAGTTTCGCACGACGTTGTTTCGCACCTTTTCAATCCTCTATCCCGATTATCTTGCTTCCCTCCCCGAAGGCGGAAATCGCTTCCCCCGCATCCATTGTATCATCAAGTACCAGGAGCTCCCTGAAACGGTGATGGGGACGATAAATTTCTTACCGCCTCTCCCGAATGATCCTCCCCCGCCTATCCCCGCCAACTTCCGACTCCCCCATCCTTGAGCCCCACAGGGTTTATAGAAGGACGCCATATACAAGATAATATATTATTGATTAATGAGATGATCAAATTAGCTCGCCAGTCCCGTCAAAATGTAGCATTTGTCTTCATAGATTTTGAGAAAGCTTACGACCATGTGGACTGGACATTCTTGGATGCCTGTTTGTCAAAAATGAACTTTGGTCTTGTTTTGAGGCAATGGATTAATATACTACACTATAATGCTACTACAAGAGTCCAAGTTAATTGTTTACTTTCTCCAGAAATCAAATTACAAAGATCAGTGCGTCAGAGGGATCCCTTGACGCCTTTTCTTTTCCTTATAATTATGGAAGCCTTGGGGGCGAATCTTCCGAGTCACCACAATTTAAAAAGGATACAGATTACCGGGATTCCAGAGGAGGCCATTCCGGTTAGCTCGATGTTTGCAGATGACGTCACTCTTATAATAGAAGCATCAATAGCTAATATGATGGAGATCAAGGCATTAATGGATAAATTTACTTTGGTATCAGATATGGTGGTAAATTGGGGTAGCAAGACACAGGGTTGGTGGGTGCACTCCAATGGAGTCAGACCTCCTGAACAACCAAGGGTAAAATGACTATCCCTACAAACCCTTATACGGGTCTTGGGGGTTTCTCTTACGGCCCTAGGGAAACCCACTACAAATGATGACTGGATAACAAAACCTGCGCTTGAGAAAATGTCCCAATGGAAAAATCAACACACTTCTCTATTTGGAAGGGCTTTAATCATTAATAATGTTGTACTAGCATCTATTTGGTACAAGTCTACAACCTGGTCACTCTCCAGGACAACAACAAAGACATTGAAGAAGTTATTAATATCCTTTCTCTGGAGGGGAAATCATGAAACTCAAAGAGTAATTCCAAGGGTGGCATGGCTTACGCTTATTCAGCCTAAATCAAAAGGAGGATTAGGTATATTAGATCCATCTTTACAATGTCAGGCATTGTCTCTTCAATGGATTAAATCACTGATTTTTTCACCAGACATTCCCTGGTTGCCAATGGCCCTGGAACAAATACGGCGTTTGACACTATCCACAATTGAAGGAATACATCCGCTCACATGGATATAAAATCGTTATTGAACCATTCCAAGAGGAAAACTACATACACATGAGGAAGGGATTGGGGAGGAAGTGAGCTGTCAGGATAACTTTTGGGGTTCTCTTATTAAAACATGGAGACAACTTCCACTACCGGACAGACCATTCCCATCAAGATTTGAAGAAGTGTTAAGACAACCTCTTTTTGGCAATAGATGGATCACAGATAATAATGGGTGTGTTTGCAATAGTTCTTCACCTCCATCGTCAACCTGGGTTAAAAGGGGAATCCTGAGGATCAAGGATATATGGGATCCAGAGGCTAAAAATTGAAAGTCTATAGAGCAACTTAAATATACTCTCAAATATGCTCATCACCTACACGAAATGTTGGACCAAATAATTTTTTCCATTCCTCTAGACTGGGCAAAAACGTTAAGAAAGGGATACCGCCTGCAGGAGTCTGATTGGGTGGCGGGATATGATTCATGTAATGTATGGATAATAGGTCAGGTGGTTTGTCAACATCAGGATGAAACAATGGTAAATATTTTCCATCTTCAACATGATTTTTTTTTGGTTAGGTATGATCCAGATAGAATCGAGTGGGTGCCTAACAAAATGTTATATAGGATTAGGGTACTACTTTATACAACAACTAATCACACATCACTTGCTCAATGGCAGGCCTACTATCCGAAAATCCCAATAGYAGAACTTCCTCTTGAYCMTGAGGAATGGACATGGAAGGTTTCAAARAGAGGTAAACACAGTACTCTTCAATCTCTRACTGTCAAGACARCCTATCGGAYGTTGAGACCCAAAGTCGATGCTCCAGCAATTGTGCAAGACAGATGGGTAAGGCATCTCAATATCCACATAGATCAGTTGGGAACAGTACGCTGGTTTCGGTCCACTAAGGAAAGACCAGCCAAATTTCCCTCACTTCAGTGGCAGATTATGCATAGATGTCTGCCTACCAATGACTGGTTGATAGATCACTCAACACTGGAACAKAGGGGTTTGGCGTTACMATGGTGYCGATCTTGTCRCAAGTCATTCCCCTCAAGGAAATATAGAGAAACGATTGAAYATATTTTTACTYAGTGTCYAGGGTCTATCCTTATGTGGCGACGTTGGGACTGTATTTGGCGAAGATTAACGGGTCTTGAGTGGCCTTGGGAATGGAGAGCTATCTTATTAGGACAATGGAATCCGGGAGATCAGTCACTTTCCACATTTTAGTCGAATCTATTTTGCCTTGGTAGGAAAGCTATCATATGGGCTATATGGCAAAAAAGGTGTGTCTATGTAATGGAGGAGGTAAGTATGGAAGGGAAAGAATGTTCTCAGAATATCAAACAATTTGTGGAAACAGAAATTAGGGCCAAATGGGCTAATCTTAAAATTAAATTGAAATCTCTAACTCAGAAAAAAGACATTCCAAAATCTATTTGCAAATTCAAAATGGACTGGCTAGGGGATCCTCAGGGGCAAGGAATTGGACAAGTGGTATGGCCTGGTGAGAATGAGTCTGTGATGCCTCTAAAAAAAAATTACTTGTTACATTTTAATGACTGGTTTGATATTCAGCCAGGGGAATTCCTCACGAATGCTACATGTTTTTTTGAATTGTTCCCTCCCTCAGAGTTAGCTTTAGTAGAACTTCAATGGTTTGGTGGAGGGGAAGAATGATTGATCTTCATTACAAGGATTAGAACTGCTAGAAGGGCAAGTACTATATGGCAGTCTGATCAAGACTGAAGAGGTGGTTTTTATCATTTTTTATCAACCTGTAATACTTGACAATTTTTTCTGTATAAGGGACGCTGGACCCGATTTCCAGCAGGTGCAGCTCCCCACCAATAGATGGAGCCTCCTTGATAGTGCTAGTGGTGTCTGCTCTTATCAGCATCCCTAGAATTGGCTCGGGTTGTTTAAAAAAAAAAAAAAAAAAAAAAAAAAAAAAAAAAAAAAAAAAAAAAAAAAAAAAAAAAAAAAAAAAAAAAAAAAAAACGAGGATGGCTCGAATGACGTGTCGACAGGATGACTTCCACATTCTTATCCTACGGTAACGACACCTGTAATATTGGTGGAATTGAAATTTTTTCTTCCTTCCTTCTTCTTTCTTCTTCGAGCTTGGGAGAGATGTGGGTGCAAGCGGGAGCTTGCACAGGATGGAACCCCCTGGGCATCACATATGTGACGAACTACTTTCTGTACGGCGTCATCTTTTGCACAACCGGGATTGGGGGTACACAGAGGGATCGGGGATAAATTGCATGGCGGTCCCTCCTTCTTGATTTTTCGAAGTTTCCTCCTTTGTCCTTTGGGGGGAGGGAAAGTGGCGGGTATGGACCTTGGGACAGTAGGCCCGCGCCTTAGCAAGCGCGGGGGGGGAACAACTTCGGCTATGGCCTTTTTCTTTTTTCGTTTCTTTTCTTTTGTTTTCAAATAAGGCGTCCGTCTTTTTGGCGCAATAATCACGCGGGTAGTTCTTTCGGAATTTTTGAATTTAGAACGAGACCTTGCGGGCTCTCGGAATTTTCTTTTGTAATTAGGACTTTAATTAGACTAGGAAATTGGGTGCGTTGGAATTTTTGCCCGTAGCTGCACATCGCCGCTTGCTTGCGCACGCGCTTTGCTGCACAAGGACCTGCGCTCTATTCGCGCCGCGCCTAAATTCTAATCTCAACTGTAATCTCTTCTTGTTCCTTCCCCGCTACGCAAGAGTAACTGTAATCTTCCCCGTTCTTGAAATTCCCTTCCCGCGTCACTGCATGCGCACTCTACATCCTATCTCATTGGCCGGATCGTTGCATGGTTGGATCGAAGCGTGGAGTGAGGCTACGTCCCCCACGCCGCAGCCCGGTCATGCACTCGTAAGCACTTCCTTTCTCTCTTCTTTCCTGTTCCTCTGGCAATCCCGACTACTGCGCGCTGATTAGCAAGTTATAAATTCTACAAGCGCGATTAATTTTCTCTCTAAGCTACTTGGGAGTTAGCGCGGTCGAGAGGATCGGCTAACGTGCAAAAAGACGGTGAGTAGAGAGTTGGGCGATCTGACGAGGTGCTGAGTGCGCGGGGTCGACGCGTGGCCGCAAGGGATTGTGGCACGTGGGCGAACCTGGCGTGCACGCTCAAGCTAAGCGGGGTGACGACTCTGTGGGGTCTTTGGGATGCGCGTCGACGGACTATCCGCAACGAGAGAGAGAGAGAGAGAGAGAGAGAGAGAGAGAGAGAGAGAGAGAGAGAGAG